CCTCAATGCGCGCGTGAACACGCCATCGCTGCCTGCGCCACCCTTTCGCGCGTGGTCACCCGTCAGTCCGCACTCCTCGAGGACTGCGGCATCGCGCCCCGCGCGTCCTTCCCCATCGACCGTGTTGCGTACGCCTTTGGCCCCGGCTGCTTCTCCGCACGCGTGCTGCCCCGTCTTCCCGCATGCCTCGAGGCATATGGCCTCGTCCACTGCACGTGCCTTCTCCACGCCCGAGCTCTCCGCGTGCACGCCCTTCAACCCCTCGCTATACACGTCCTATCTGCCACGCATGCCAGCCGTGCACACCGCCCGCACATCCGCGTGCAGCCTATCTTCGCCCGTCTCGCGCGCACTATGCTCTAGTGCGCGCACTTCTGCTGTCGCCCGTGCTTGCCTCTTGCGTGCATGGTAAGCTCGACTTGCGGCGTTCTTGAGCTGCCTAGCCACTTCCGCATCATTCCTGTCCCCTTCAAGTGATTCCTTGTTCCTCAAGGATGAAATTTGGGACTGATCACGTATCTCGTCAAGATCCTCCCACGTGGCTTCCTCGGATGGCAACTCTTCCCAGTCAACTAGTACTTCCCAACGATAGCGCCCTGCTCTCTTTACCTTACGGTACTCAATCGCTCGTTTTGGTCGTACTATGACCCTACCATCGGTTGCGGTTGCAGGTAACTCCTCACAATACTTCTGCGCTTCTTCAATTCACGTAACATCAAATCTCGTTCCTCTAGTTCTCGACCAACCTCATCGTTGACTGTACTCCCCTCCGAATAATTGATCAGCATTAGGGGTTTTCGCCCGTATACCAACTCAAATGGCGTCATCTTGGTCGACTCGTGATAAGTGGTGTTGTACCAATACTCAGCCCAAGGCAAAAAGTTTTCCTACCGCTTCGGGAATTGGTGGATGTAGCATCTTAAATACTGCTCAAGGGTTCGGTTGGTTACCTCAGTTTGTCCGTCTGTCTATGGGTGGTATGCTGAGCTCATAGACAACTTGGTCCCTTGCAATTTGAAGAATTCATACCAAAAGCTGCTCATAAAAATCCGGTCTCGGTCAGAGACGATCGATCGAGGTGCTCCATGCAGTTTCATCACGTACTCCACAAATAACCTAGCAATTGACTTCGCGGTGTAAGGATGGGTAATGGGTATGAAGTGAGCATACTTCGTAAGACGATCCACTACAACCATAACACCGTCAAATCCATTAGAATTTGGTAGTCACTCGATGAAATCCATAGTAATGTCTTCCCAGATTGCCTCGGGTACCGGTAGAGGTTGCAACAGCCCACTCGGTCGTCGTGAGTCAGACTTAGTGCGCTGGCAGTCGTCGCACCGTGCTATGTAGTCTCGGACGGTACTCTGTTGTCCAGGCCAGAAGAAAGTGTTGGCTATTCTCATCCACGTGCGATAGATACCCGAGTGGCCTCCAACCTTAGAGTCATGGAAGTGCTGCATGATCTGCTCGCGTAACTGCCCACTGTCGGGAACGTAGACTCGACCTCGGTGTAGAAGTAGACATTATGCAACTCATAATCGATAGCAGTTGTCTTACCTGTTTCTATCGATTGGCGCAGCTCCTGGCAATAGGTGTCCCCTACTTGCACCTTCCTGATCTCATCCCAAATAGTCCAAGCTGGCCCCGTCATAGCATTTAGCTCGGCTACATCTGTTCGTCGGGATATTGCGTCAGCTACTGCATTCTGTCGACCCGGTCGATAGATTATCTCGAAGTCAAACCCCATAAGCTTAGATACAAACTTCTGCTGCTCAGGGGTAACAATCCTTCGCTCAAATAGATGCTTAAGCGGTTGTTGGTCGGTAACAATCTGAAAACGTCGGCCCAACAGATAAGGTCTCTAGCACCTTACAGCCTCGACAACTGCTAGCATCTCCTTCACATACACCGATAGACCCAACCGGGTAGTGCCCAGTGCCTTGCTGAGATAGGCTAGGGGTCGTCCCTCTTGCACTAGCACAACTCCAATTCCAATGTCACTTGCATCGGTATGCACCTCGAACAAGACATCAAACCTGGGCATGGCGAGTACTGGCGTTGTAGTCATGGCTTCTTTCAGTTTCCCAAACGCCTCCTCGCTAGCTTCGGTCCATGTGAACCCGCCTTTCTTTGTCATCTCTGTCAGTGGATTGGCGATGGTCCCATAATCCTTCACGAACTTTCTGTAGTAGCCCGTGAGTCCTAGAAATCCTCTCAACTGTGTGAGACTTGTCAGTTTTGGCCAATCGATCATAGCCTCAATCTTTCGTGGATCAACCTTCACGCCCTCGTGCGATATGAAGTGCCCCAGATACTCAACCATCATTTGCCCGAAAGAACATTTGGATGGCTTTATGTGGAATGAGTTGGCCTCCCGAATTTCGAGCACTACTCTCAGATGCCCAAGATGTTCTCCCCATGACTTCGAATAGATCAGGATATCATCAAAGAATACCAGAACGAACTTACGCAGATACTCTTTGAAGATAGAACTCATAGCGAACTGGAAAGTGGATGGGGCATTGCATAATCCGAATGGCATGACTAGATACTCATAGTGCCCCTGGTGCGTACGGAATGATGTCTTTGGAATGTCGGCCTGATGGAGTCGAATTTCATGGTAACCAGCTCTCAGATCGAGCTTTGAGAATTAGCGTGACCCGGCTAACTCATCGAGCATGTCATCAACGCTCGGGATAGGAAATCGGTCCTTGATGGTCGTAGCGTTCAGAGCTCGGTAGTCAGTACAGAACCTCCACGTGCCGTCTTTCTTTTTGGCTAACAGGACTGGAGAAGAAAATGGACTCTTGCTATGCTGGATTAGTCCTGATCCAAGCATCTCGGCCACTTGCCGTTCGATCTCGGTTTTCTGAAAGTGAGCATACCTATAAGGATGAACGTGTATGGCATGCTGCTCATTGATCAGCGGTATGCGATGATCGAACTCCCGATGTGGGGGTAGTCCCTTAGGTTCGCTCAGTACTCCATCAAATTCCTGGAGAAGCTCGTGCACATCTCCCTGATGTTGCCCCTCTTGATCTATGTGCACCTCAGTCTTCTCCACCACTACTGCAAATATTTGGCCTCCACCCCGCCAAACCTTCTCAATGCTCTTAAGCCCTACTTCCTTGGTACCTTTTTCATTGCTCGCACTCAGAGTGACTTGCTGACCTCCGGAGTTGAACTCCATAATTCGTGTTCGATAGTCGGTGGTCACCTTGCCTAACCCTTCGAGCCATTGTACTCCTGGGACGACATCCGGCCCAACCAGCGGTAAGGCATAGAGATCAGCCTTCACCGTAACTCCGCTGAACCTGATTGGCACCTTCCAGAAGGATTTA